TTCATCTTGGGTAAAAAGCTGATAGTGCTATTATCATAAAGAGAACTAAATATATTATCCTGGCTCAAGTTGTAAAGTAAAAATGTTTCATTGTGTGAAAAATCTGGCTTTTTTTTTGCGACCCCCTATCCCTTTTTTCTGAGACATTCTACATGTACTACATTGGTAACACTCACTGTTGTAGGGCTCCCAAGAGATTTCTCTAGCTCTCTTTGCAGGCATGTCAGCCATCATTAATATAATCTTTTTTTTCTAATAACTGAGCATTGTCCTGTAGCACCTCTGACACATCTTGCTTTGGGTGCTGGCCAGGAACGTCATCCTGTATGTTGATGGCGTAAACTGCCCAGATAGAATCCCTGTAGGCACTACAGTCCTTAGGCTTGGCAGATTTTGCCCCTATCTTGCTGCCACAAAAGCGACATAAAGGCTGGAGATTATCCATGTGTTCTCCAAAAGTATGCATACTGGAGACCTGGTATCTGTAAAAAGCAAAAAGTAGGCAACTATCAGAGTCTGTGTACACCATTTAGATAAGAAGCAAAAAGAAGGGTTGATACTTTCAATAAAGGTGGAGCCAAAAACCTAATCTTGTTCATATATTGTATTTACTTCTTTCTGTCATAGTAATTTATACAGGTATGACAAAACCACGTAGATAAAGGATTTCAGTCTCCTCATATTAATAATAACATTAATTGTAACACAACTTTCTCTCATGCTCTAATACTATCAACTATTCATCAGAATAATAAGACAATGGAGTAATAAAGTGTGTTTTGTTTATATTGTGCTCATTTTAAAGAATAACTAATTTAAAACAATAACACGAGGGAGCTAGTAATGGAGTTTTACTTACCAGTTTTCAAACGTCCAAACGGTGAATATGTAAGGTCCCTTTTAAACTTGTTGAGAGGTGAAGTAAAGCAGAAGAGGATCAACAACGCTGTCTTTACCAAAACACTGGGAAAACTCTGTGGGACTCACAATTCTTTCACGAAGGTTGGCTTTGTGGCCATTTAGGAGCATGGGAGGGCCGTATAAATCTTGGCCTCGGCAACCCATGTTTAGCCTCCCAGGGGAACAAAAGTCATGACTGGAGTTGTGTGTGGTAGCAAACCACCATCATGAGGAACAGGTAGTAAATATAACGCCATCCTCTCTTGTTTATTAGTCTAAATGAGTCAGCTGTGAAGACACCTTATGTTACAATAATTACTCCCTTGCTGCATTTGAACTGCTCGGTCAGGGGAAATAACTGTAAAAGTGCTGGACTAAAGGGTGAAAAATCTGACCGGCTGAACAAGTGTGACAAAAGTCACGACAAACTCACGACAAAAGTCACGACAAAGGTTACGACAAACTCCCGACAAAAGTCACGACAACCATTATACAAGACGTAATGTGTCCCCAGGGCTGATCCTCCACCTGGGCTTCATGCGTCCCTCTACGGTACTGATGGCTCCCCTGTTTGTGTGCGGCACGCTGTACCACTTCACCAGCTTTCTCTCTGACCTCCCCTCCCTCATGGCGTTAGCTGCTCTCAACGGACTCTTTACAGCCACTTTCTGGGCCATGCAGGCGAGTTTTTGGGTGCTGGGGATTGGCGGCATAGTCTTCAACTGTTCTAAGTCCAAACAGAAGAAACAAAACACAAACATCTGTTTCACTCGTCTAACAATGGTACAGACATCATGCGTCTTTTATTCTTTTTTTTTTTTTACTTTCATTATAATTTAAATTTCGAAAACAAAACAAAATATCCTTAGTCCATGCAACTGACGCCAAATTTTGCGAAATATCGATTAAAAAAATCTAACAATTTTTAGTATCTATACATATTATATTTGGGAAACTTCGTCACTTTGGTCGCCTAAAACTTCCAAACCACTTAAATTTCAAATTTAAAAAAATTAACAGTGGTTTAGAATCATTTAAAGGATGCACATTTATAATAAGGAGTTGGAAGTCACTGTAGTTAATTTTCCGTTTTTCTTTAGATTCGCTTAAAATTAATCCTGGGAAAGTCCATCTTTTAAGACGCCATTTGTAAACAAGTGGGAGTTCCCGTCACAAGCAGTGCCCACTAGTTCCACAATGATTTGACGCTCAATTCTTTTGAGTCCGTTCTTTCATCGTACGGGTACTCAGCTAATAAAACGTATGACTCGCTGGTTGAGGAAATGTTCTAAGCCTCAATTGACACAATTCTTAACACTTAGGGAAAGGGGACTGAGGTTTGTGTGTCTGTGTGTCTCAGGCCTGGTTTTTCCTTAAAAGCAAAGTCGACACTCGCCTCCTAAATAATCTGAACTGTGTCCATGGGGCAAACATTCTTAATTTACATTACAATTTTAAAGTTCTCTTCCTATCGGTGTTACTGGAGTCATGGTTAGACTCTTTGCTGTTCCAGACAAATCATGAGGCGAGTTCAATTCTCATGAAGAAAATTATAATAATAATAATAATAATGAAGATCATTTCTATAGCGCCCACTCCCGTGTAAACACAGCTCTAGGCGCTTTACATAAATGCATGTAAGAAAAATATTCATGCACGTGACACACACACACACACTCACAGACACACACTCATATACACACAAACACACACACATATACATATACACACACACACACGCATACACACTCATGAACACATAACACGCACACATGTATGCCAAACACACACAAACACACACTCACACACACACACACACACACACACACACACACACACACACACACGCACACACACACACACACACACACACACACACACACACACACACACACATCTACTTGCTTATCACACGCACACGATTACACATCGTCACGAAATGAGAATAAAATAATATATACACTGCAATTCACAAAATACATAAATGGATACATAGACATTTACATAACATTGTACTGAAGATGAATCTACTGACTTAAAAAGGATGTCATTAAATGTGTCTTTAAAGATTTTTTAAATCTATACTCAGATGTTGTATGTCTCAATGGTTGGGGAAGAGAGTTCCAAACTGACGGAGCAAGGTGGGCGAACGATCTTTCGGCTAATTTTTTACCGCCTTTTCTAGGAACTCGTAAAAGATACTGGTCGCCTGATCTTAGTGATCTAGATGGAACATAAATCTGGATGAGATCACTAAGATATGAGGGAGCTTTGTTACTGACACATTTATGACATAATATTGCAATTTTATATGACATTCTAGCTGACACGGGAAGCCAATGCAACGTTCTTAACATGGGAGTAATGTGGTCCCTCTTCTTTTTCTTTAGTACAAGCCTAGCAGCATGATTTTGAAAACGTTGTAACTTGTGAAATTCTATTTCACCTCGCTACTTCCTTCTTTCTGCAGGGATAATGTATGTTTTTATTACTCAGTCTCAATTTGCCGTGTTGAAGGTGGTCGGAGCAGCCGGCTTCCTAAATAATTCAAATTACGTTAATGGCGGTGTAAAATATTTACAATTATGTCGTAGTATCTTCTCAAGTTTCCTTTATTGTATTTTTCTTGTTCATGATATTATTATTGTATCTTATCGCTTTTGCCATTGTCGTATCGTGTCTTCTCACTTTCTCCCTCATCATACGTATCGTGTTGTTTTCCCCTTTATCATATCACAACCTCCCACTTGCCCATTGGCGAATAGTATCTTAACACGTTAGTTATCATCTACTTTATATTCCAATTACCTAGTCATATCTTTTCTTGTTTCTTTTATTTTATTGTTTGTATGTTCTCATGGGTACCCATTATCGTATAGGCCTACTACCTTATCACTTTTCCAACCATTAAAGTGTTCCTATTACCTTATGGGACCTTATCGATTGTTCCATTTTCTTGATATTATTTAGTCGTTCCAATTGACTCTATTGCCTTATCGCCGCTTTGCAAATTATAATATTATTATAGTATCACTTTTCCCATGATCTTATTGCATCTACTCATTTTTCTGATATCTTTTCGTATCTTCCCATTATCTCATTTACATTATCTTTTTGTATTTTCTCATCTTCATATCGTCTTATTGCATCATTCCAATGTTATCAGATAACTTATACTATAAGTCTATAAGTTATAGATTCTTTATAAAATCTTTTCATTGGCTCCGTTATCTTATTGCATCTTCTCCTGTATTCCCCCCCTCCCCCCATCAGACGTTGGTGGTGATCGAAGTGATTGGTCTGGAGAACATGGGGCCTGCCCTGGGCTTCTTCAGCATAGCATGCGGGGTGGGCATCGGTGTGTCTTTCCCGGTCGGTGGTGAGTACATCTTGTCTCCGGGGTGAGTAGACTGGGGGGAAAAGGGTAGGGGAGGAGGGGACAGGGGAGGAGAAGAGTCTGCCTGTCTGTCTCTCTGCCTCTCTAAATCTCTGTCGCTCCCTTCCTTTCTACCTCTATCTATCTATCTATCTATCTATTTATCTATCTATCTATCTATCTATCTATCTATCTATCTATCTATCTATCTATCTATAGCCTTCTCAGATAAGGGTGAAAAATCTTGGTGGTCCCTTGTGCAAGTTGCGCAGATTAAAGATCCCTTTTGGGGGTACAGAAATTGATAAGGGCAAGTTTCTGTCGCCACCCGGGGAAAATGCAAAGTTTTCTACCAGGGGAAAAATGTTTCATGTGTCTCGCGCGTCCATGTCGTGACCTTATGCAGTTTCGAGCTCCCTAAAACACTTACTACCCCTCCCCCCAACAAAATATTGATTAATTAATAAATTAATGAATATATAAATAAGCAAATAATTTTAAAAAATAAATAAATAAATAAAATGTAAAAATTCAATTCAATTTAACTTAATACATGAATCTAAAAAACAACCCCCCCCCCCAAAAAAAAAATAAAAGAAGAAAAAAAACAAAAAACAAAAAACAAAAGCAAATAAAGAAAAATATTAAAAAACCAACAACCCAGTTCAGGTCGGAGAGATCGGAACTTATATGACCGTATTGTGTTGCAAGTGCCTTAAAACCCTTACTAAAACAAAAAGATCAGAGAGAAGCGTACATCAGTGTTTCTCCCCCACAGGGTCTCTGAGCGACATAGCAGGAACCTACAGCTCTGCCTTCAACTACTTCGGCGCCCTGTACTACGTGTCTGTGCTGAAAAATGCTTTATGTTCCCCGCGCGCTCATACTGCCTTATGCAGTTGCAATAAATAAATATATACATAAATAAATAAATAAATAAATACTTAAATACATAAACAAATGAATGAATGAATGAATGAATGAATGAATGAATGAATGAATGAATGAATGAATGAATGAATGAATGAATGAATTAGTTAGTTATTTAAATTTAAAGTTCAATAAAAACAAACTTAAAAATTGAATTAATCAGATAAAAATACACCAGTACACCAGTGTTTCTCCCCAACAGGGTCTCTGAGCGACATAGCAGGAACCTACAGCTCTGCCTTCAACTACTTCGGCGCTCTGTATTACGTGTCTGTGCTAGCGTTGGTCATCGTCCAGTTCACAGGCTCGCTGGCCACACAGGACAAACCGGAACCAGAAGCTGGACTCACGCATGCGCAACAAGAGGAAGTGGATGTGAAACTTGAGAAGATGGGCCATTGATTGGGGTGTGGAGATTGATGAGAATGCTTCTAGATTGGACTTCAAGATGAGACTGATAGAGAATTTGGGGGGGGGGGGGGGTGAATTGTGGCGGCGGTGGCCTAGTGGTTAGGCTCATAGAATTGCAACCGTAAAGTCGTGGGTTCAAATCCCGTCAGGGACCCGACCTTATGTCCTTGGGAAAGGAACTTTACACGAATGTTCCTCACTTCACCCAGCTGGGAATGGGTACCCAGCTATAGACAGTGAAAGATCTTGTCAGTTTGTTACTGTTTGAGCGCTTAATCAGCTGCATTAACTGTGTGCTTCCCTGGAAGCTGAGAATGTGTTTTTTTTTCGTGTTCTAAGGTCTGCTGGGGTAATTATATAAAGCGCATATAGAGCTTGCTGTAGAGCGGATTTATGCGCTATACAAATGCTGTTTTACTATTATTATTATTATTATTATTATTATTATTACTATTATTATTATTATTATTATTATTATTATTATTATTATTATTATCATTTATACCGTGTGTACGTGTGGGTGTGTGGGCTGGGAGGGGGTTAGATTAATTGAATGAGTAACTTGGTGAGTGAGAGATGGAAAAGGGTAAGTGAGAGAACCATTATTGGTTTATAAATTGTATAGTCAGATCAGCATTAAGGATCTTGTATGTTTTTTACTTACAGAATAAACCACTTTGAAACTACCACCGTTTTGAGTACTTCTGTGAGTTTCAAAACATTTAGAACATACAATGTTCTTCAGTAATGTATTTTGAGATTTGAAAAGAAGGTGATACAAACGGATGTGTCGCCACATTTTCTTACGGGTTGCTTTTTGATCTGCTCCTTTCTTTCGTTATCTAACTCTCTCCCACGATTGTTGCTTATCGTTGTCTCGATCCTACCCTTTTTCCGTTCTCTCAAACAAGCAAAACCAAGATCAAATACATACGTTGTTCTGTTGTTGAATCTATCAGCTCTGGTCAATCTCCCCCTCCCCCATCAAACGACAGCCTTAACACCCCCCTCCCCCCCAAACACCCGACAGCTTTACACTGCCTCCTACCCTTCCATGCCTCTATAACAGCCACTTATCAAGACCTGTTCAAATGACCAATTCCCATTTACCCCTTGCACTTTTTGTCTACTTTTCAATTCCACTTTCCTAGACATCAATCTGTCGTCTTCTCTCTCTCTCTCTCTCTCTCTCTCTCTCTCTCTCTCTCTCTCTCTCTCTGTCTCTTGCCTTTTTAACTCCTCGTGGAGAATAGGAAATCAACAACATTTCTCCCGAAGCCTGTCCTGTGTATCCTTTTCTAGCTGTTTCCATGATGTCCCCTCCTTTTCCATTTCTGCTTGTACCGCTCGCCTCCATGTCATCTTTGGTCTTCCTTTCTTACGTTTTCCTAGTGGATTCCATGTCAAAGCTTGTCTGATGGTGCTTGTCGGGGGTCTCCGCAGTGTGTGCCCAATCCTTTTCCATTTCTTCACCTGTATGTCTTCCTTTACCTATCTTTGGCTTGTTTTTTTCCTATAGTTGAGCATTTGTGACTCGATCGTAGTCTGTCTTAGGAAGGCCGTCTTGGATCATTTCGATTGTGCTCGATAGAAATGTGAGGCAGCGTGGTGGAATCAGGCTCTCTTCAAAATAATCAAGCTGAAGAAACTTGCATTTTTTCGCAGGTTTGTGAATTTTTATCAAATTTTTCCTTTTTTGGCTCAACGCCTTTCATGCCCATTAAAGAACTCATTTCTGAGTGGATTTTTCTGAAAAGCGTTGAATAAAGGCACGAAGTTGTTAATTTTCAGCTACCACGGACTCTTAAACTAAGGAAATAACTAATCTTTGGCGCCATTTTCTCACTAATTTTACTTCTGAAAACAGGTGACCCCCACCTCCTTCTTTCGCAAATATCTCGACTTGTATTTAAGATAAATGGGTATTTTTTCCATCCAAAAAAAGACAAGTAAACAAGCTTTAAGATGATACCAATAACTCTACATGCCCAAAACTTGACGAGAGCCTGATTCCACCACGCTGCCTCACAAAATATGTTATTTATTTGCGCCACGCTGAAAACTAAATCTTGTTGGATTTTCTTTTTCCTTTTTCTCGACACTTGAAAAGACAAACCGCAACGTATATAAAGAAGACCGGAGTAAACCAAGCATACTGTTACTGTAGGGGCTCTAGCGGTCGAGAGGTTACAGTGTTCGCCTCTCAGTTGATAGGCCCTGGGTTCGAATCCGGACATGGACGGAAAAATTGTCTTCTCCAAAATGTTCTCCTTTCACCTCCTCTCCTGCTCTCTAATCAGGTTCTGGCGTCTGCTTTCATCTCCACTTTCTGCTCCCACACTCTCACCCTCTTTGACCTCTCTTGTGGGCTCCTGACTCACTCTGCAGCCTTTCTACTGCTACTCAATGTCTTTTTACTGCTGTGTTTCAGTCACATTCCTGATCTTTTGGCAGGAAAGATCTACACCTAGCCTTCTCGGATAAAGACGAAAAATCTTGGAGGCCCCCTTGCAAGTTGCGTATGTTAAAGATCCCTTGGTGGTTCAAAATCGATAAGAGTAAGCGTCGGCCACCACTCGGGCAAATTTAAAAAAATCCTTACCAACTGGAAATGTTCAATGAGTCCCGCACGCTCGTATGACCCTTTGCAGTTGCGAGCGCGGTAAAAAAACCTTACACCCCCCCCCCCCCCCCCAAATAAAAAAAAAAAATATATATAAATGTTTTTAAAAGCACATGGTCCATGTTTGAACAACAAGTTTGAGCAATCGTTAAAATAACGATTTCAAAGAAACCGACATTTTTTGCCCGTTGAGCAAATTTTGTCGCTTTCGTTTTGGCTCTAAAACGTTTATATCTTTTAAAGATACATTTCTGTGCGGATTTTATTGAAACAGAAACATTGATTAAAAGGGGAATGTGTAAATTTGCAGCTTTCAAGAACACTCAAACTTTGAAAGTCACCAAATTTCGGCCGCAATTTTCTACCTAATTTTGCAACCTCCCCCTCCTTCAAGCACAAATATCTCGACCTGTGCTAGAAATAGATAACTTTTTTTTCGTCAAAAGCAAAAGAAAGGAACGGGCTTTAAATTAAGATTATTCCAATAAGTCCATAATATGTCCAAGCGCTGACGAGGAGCGCCTGCTCCCACCGTGTTGCGACACAAATGTCCGCTATTGTCACCTGCTCTCAAAACAACAAGTAACTAAATAACTAACAATGAAGATAGTGGTCTTGATTACATGTACTTTATTTATTTGTTAATCATAAAGAAATGCACTATCTGTTAATATTGCTTACATTCATACTTAAATAATAAACTTACTCACATTTCTATTGATCTTTATTGGGAAAATTGAGTTACAAATGGCAAACATACATAGGCCTACACAAGTACATGATTAGAAATGCAGGCATACATAAATTATATAAACGTATTTAATACGCAATATTACACCAATACAGAACAATTTCACAAACATACCATCGCTGTTTGCCACTGTGGAGCATCCTGTTTTTTTAGCAAAGGGTTGTCGTGTCTTGCTCAAAGACACACCCTAGTGATTACCGTTCTAAATTCTGCGTCACCGAGACTTGTTTGACATTACTCATAAGTCTGAACTCACAACTCACTTAGCCACTGGAGAACACGAGCCATGACTTTGCCAAATATAGGTAATATATTAAATAATTTTAATCATAACTTAATGGTGCTCCTAGTGTCATAAAACTTGTAATAAAACGAAAACTTCATGTTTTTAACTTTACTTTACTTTTACTTTTATCCGCCGCTTATACCCTTTTTGGTGTCGCAGGAAGAAAGAGACGTCTCTCTGTCGCCAGCCGGATTGTTTCCCTGACTCCATCTATCAAGGTCTTTCTCGGTCGCCCTCTAGCCTTGTTGCCATCGAATTTTTTTTAAAATGTAGGCACGTTGTGCTGGATGGTGTGTTGGTAATCGTAGATGTTTTTAACAGAAACTGAAAGAGTGCCAAAGTCATGGTTCGGGCGCTCCCTTACCTCAGTTTGTATCTTGCTTGACTACTGATTAATTAATTAGTTCTCTCCTATCACCAAGATGGACGTAACATTCGGTGGTCCTCTCTAGTGTTGATATGGGTATTAGACCCATACATGTACTTACTTACTAAGCCAGGGCTTTGATCGAGGTGCTCTCTGTTTATTTGAGTCACGGCGTGGTGGAAAAAGAGGCTCCACAATATTGGGGCATGTGGAGTTATTAGTAACATCTAAAAGCATGTACGTTTTTGATGAAGTCGATTTTTAAAAAGCACATCTATCTCGACCAGAATTCGAGATATTTGCCATTGAAGAAGATGGGCGTCACCAGTTTTCAAAAAGTAAAATTAGCGAGAAAATGAGCGCCAAAGGTTGAAACCTGATAAATTACATTTTTTGTGCTTTTAATCAACGAGCGTTTTTCAGTAAAACCCACACTGACATGTGTGTTTAAATTACTATAAAAAAAGTGCTGGCCTAAAAAGAAATTTAAAAATTGATAAAAACTGCCTAACAGCCGCAAAAAATGTTGGTTTCTTCAATTTCGGTAATTTGACCAGCCCCTGATTTCACCACGATGACCTTAATATTTGATTTTCTCAAAAAGAAATAAAGAAATAATGATTACTGAGGTGTCTAAGTTATCGCAGCCTCAGAATTACAAAGTTCTATCTGACATTTTGGGTTGTTTTGAGTCACTCAGAGTAAGACATAGGGTCAGAAATCAATTGCTCTCTCTGCTCTATCAAAATCGTAAGATTATTCTCAGCCGTTATCAAGATATTTTGAACGCGGCATTAGAAAAAGCTTGAAATAGTGTGAAACTCAAAATCTTGGACGTCGAATTTCTCAAAACTAGGTACTGAGCAGATAAAACTTTAAAATTTTGAGCTAGCCTAATGGTGCTGACGATGTGGACTTTAGTAAAGACGGCTTTATCGTTTCTGGTCTAGCTCGCAGGTTATTACATTTTCTTTGCTTGCCCCAGTACATAAACTTCAGTATTCTGAGTGTGGCTGCGAGCTCTGCGTAGTCTTATCAACACTGCCACAATTATGACCAGCCCCACGAAGCCAGCCACAGAACCACAGACGATAGCTACTAAAGAGTCATTGTCCGGAGATTTAGAACTTGGAGGGAAGTGATGCCGATCGACAGCGCGGTACTTAATAAGAAAACCGTGACCTTGCTGAACCTCATAAGAGAAGAATTCAATCTTGACCTCGGGTCTACTACTGAAAATTGGCTTCTTGTGGTCTTGACCGTCATTACAGAGCGTGTATCTTGAGTACTCGTCATTGACAATAACCACTCGGTCGTAGGTCATATAGTCAGTACATGTCAAGTGTTGGCTCAGTTTGGGGATATCAAGGTCACGGACGCTCATTTCAATTACCTTGGTGTCGTCCTCCGATCTCAAAATATACGCGCAGCGTGAGTTGGGCGGGTAGCGGTCCGGGTAGTTTGGTGACGTCAGATCCTGATACGCCCCGTTGGCTGGCACTGTCAAGGTCAGGGTGGTGCCGTTGCAGCCTGTAATGGGTATGGTGTTCGCAGTGAAGGTCAAGGTCATTTTTCGAGCTAGGTACTCCGTTAGATCAACCTGGAGGAGCATTTCGTTTTCTATGCTGACAACGTACGAGTGTGACGTCATAGTTTCAGTGGACAGGATGGTTTTAGGTGTGCCGTTCACCACCGAGATAAAATCTACTTTCCCGGGGGGAAGGTACACGTCGTTTTGCCAATTTGGGGGGATGAAATTAAAGTCCATGTTGGTCAAGATAACCGCCTGGCTCTCTGAACCGGAGAGAAATCTCCAGTAGCATACAGTGGGCCCTGGGAAGTGATGAGGGTAGAAAGTGACGTTACGAGACACCGTCTTATCGCCAAGATGGATGGTTTCATTACACGCTGTGTACTCCGTGTCTTGTGGGTCAATTGATGAGTACCTGAAGTATAGACCCCGGATCACAGGTCGCGTGACTTTCAGTCTCAGCATCACAGTCTCCTGAGCGAATGCTTGTGCAAACCCCCAAAATCCACGGGTCCCACAGATGTCCAACTCAGTGCCCGATGTGTCTCTCTCTGAGTACAGATACACTGTCAGTTGGACGGGCCTGTCATCCCCTTCACAGAGCTTGATATATCGTATGCTGGACACTTCAAGGGTGACAAGATGGCTTGGGTCAGCTCTGGTGATGTTCCACTGACAATCCAGGTCGGACAACATGTAGTCGGGATAGTTAAACGTCTCCATCTGCTGCATCTCGCTCGTGGCGTTTAGGATCGGCATCGAGCAAGATTTCTGCACCCAGTTTTCGTACGGGAGTGTTTTGTACTGAAATTCCAGATTGGTGTGGGGATTGGGCCTGTCTACTTCCAGCCGCACGGTCAGGTTGCTCGCTGCGTACAGCCACAGGTCGGGGTCTATGAGAAAGTAATAGTTAGTCAGCAAAGGCTGGTGGGAGTTAAGGTCCCCGTCACTGGCCAGAACAGAGAGACGACCCGGAACGATTGCCGGCGAGTAAAATGGGACGTCGGAAACCATCCAAAAGAAGAATGATTGGACCTCGTTGTCAATGTCATAAGAACTAAAGTTTGTTTTGACTCCGATCAAGCCATTATCATTAATTAGGTGCCAGTAACAGTCCAGGTGCTTTCTCTGTTGTACCGTTTCCGATAACATGTAAGATGCTCCAGTGACAGGGGTGTAGACCCTCTCACAGGGCACGTCGCGATTAGCCTGGTACTTGATCCAGAACCCTTCGCTTTGCCCGTGGACGACTAGCGAGACAGACTCAAGCGGGAAGAGAGCCGTGTTGTTCAGGACGTTGCCGTTGCAGTCTTTGGTCAGCTCAAAATATTCTTCTGAAGGTCCGTTAAACACGGACATCTTCTGGCTTAGAACCAGCTGAGAGCTCAGATTTTTATCCATCGCTTCCAAAACGCTACAGTTTGCAGTGACAGCCTGTGTCAGGGTCATCATAAGAGTGTCATTTTCGCTGATTTGTCCAGCCGGAACCCAGGCGTATGAGATAGGAGCAGCCGGGTCTAGAACCTGACTGTTGATGTCACGTGATTTGACCACTAGCGTCAGGCCAGTTTCACGGACGTCAGAGTGTTTCTTGTCGAACAAGAAAACGGACAGTTTCCGACCAGAGGCTCTGATTGTTGAGAAAGGAAAGGTTCTCTCGGTGCAGTTCGCCGGACCTTCTGGCCTTTCACCTTTCAGCAGCACGACCCCTGAGCTCTCGTCAATGACCGTGACAGTCTGATCCGCACACGACTGGCCACTGGTCAAGGGCCGGTAGTCGGTAACCGTCACCTCAACTACTCTCGAGTCGGACCCGCTGTCAAAGGTCATCCCACATTCCAGGACATCCTCGTTCCCGGAAGGGCGGATTCTCCAGTCCAGCACGTACCAATCCCCGAGGCCAGTGAGTACTTCAGTGTTGTTTACACTGCACGATCTCGTCTCCATGGGAACAGCTGTGTATTCGACTACAAAACCTTTGACCTTTTGTTGAGATGTTATTGTAACATTCTTGCTGCCCGCAATTCTGGGGACATAGCGGCCATTTTCCCCATTGATCTCTATAACTGCATCTGGAGAAATAGTGATGAGTTTTACGTCGAGTACGAGCCCAGGCGGAGCTGCAATCTTCCATTTGCAAGACACGGGTTCCCTGAGATAATAATATACATTCTTACCCAGATATCCTGGTGGGTACAGCAGCCGTGTCCGTGGTGATGCTGTAAAAGTGGACCATCTGCCTTCAGAGCAAGGTGACTGTGACTCCGTTATGTACCGGAGGCCAAGTCGGAAGCCATGTTCGTTGGCCGAGGTTGTGCCCGCGGGGCGTGAGTAAGTGACGAAAAACGCCGCTCTCCAGACAGTCAAGTAGTCAGCGAACTGACCGTACTCCCAGGCGACGTCAATCGCGTCAAATTGATACAGTACGCCAGTCAGTTTAAAGGAGAGCCCTCGGGTAATGTAGTAGTTCGATACGTGGACACTGATGCCATCGAAACTGGAGAGCCGAGTCCTACACAACACATCAGTGGTTGAGTTCGTTTGTGACGAGGTGAATTCCAATGAGGAGTACTGGGTGCCGCGTTTTGAGAGGATTATCTCCTTTGGCCAACCACAATTCTCTTCGACCGAGCCTGCAGCCAAGAAACCTGTGGAAAGATAAGATTTGAACTATCTATCTATCTATTTATCTATCTATCTATCTATCTATCTATCTATCTTTCTATCTATCTATCTACCTATTTATCTATCTATCTATCTATCTATCAATTGTATGTAAGTATGTATGTATGTATGTATGTATGTATGTATGTATGTATGTATGTATGTATGTATGTATGTATGTATGTATGTATGTATGTATGTATGTATGTATGTATGTATGTATGCATGTCTATCTGTCTGTCTCTATATCTGTCTGTCTATCTATCTTTCAGTCCATCTCTCGATTTATTTATTTCCACCCTCTCTCTCTCTCTCTCTCTCTCTCTCTCTCTCTCTCTCTCTCTCTCTCTCTCTGAGAGCCCGTCTCCTGTAAAAAACACAGACACACAAGCACTCACAACATCTTTCTCTTTATCTCTCTCTTTACCTCTCTCTCTCTCTCTCTCTCTCTCTCTCTCTCTCTCTCTCTCTCTCTCTCTCTCTCTCTCTGTGTTTTTTGCGTTCTCTCTCTTTCACATACATACACGCGCGTGCGCACACACACACACACACACAAACACACACACACACACACACACACACACACACACACACACACACACACACACGAACAAAATCTGGGGCACACACAAGTATTAATTGTTGTTGTCGATGAAGCAATAAGCACAACACTTTGGAATTTAAGGAAAATGCGCTGCAATCTGCGGCGAGATGTGACGTTTGTGATCATGACAATTAAGTTGTTATATTCTTCCCTTTACTTTACTCTCGTTGCCTTGCTGTACCATGCTCTATGGACATTTACCATATCAGCGACCTGCAAAAGTTAGAAAGGTAACCAATTTCGCTTCCTCGTTTAGTTCTAAAGGTTATCATCTGTAAATGATATAGGAACTATGATTACGTGTCATCATCAACAGGTCATTATGGAGGGACTATAAATTACTACATGTATTTTTAGATGTTTATGGAGTCACAGTGAAGGCCACTTTGAAAATGGGACATTTAGTCCCCTCGCCGAAAGTCGGGCGGATAGAAAATACTTATTAGCAGCGCCCAATTTCGCCATATATAAGGACAAAATCCAACAAAGGACTATTATGGTGCGGTCAAAAATCCGTGGCTCAACGTATTTCTTCTATCTATCGAACGTAGACTTCCCAACTTTTGCGCAATGACATAAATTATCAATTTGTCTTAACAAACTAATATTCTTTTCAAACAGCTAAACACTGTATTCTAGATCCTTAATAAATACTAATAAAAATCCTAGTCGATAGTATCTACAGATTGTTTAAAGTTTAAAGCTTTCAAAAGCAAGTCCTCCATTTTTTCTAATCATTGCATTTTGCTTATTCAACGTATGTTTTGAGAATCTTTACTGCAAAAATGTGTTCAATATAAATGAATTTATTGTAACAAGTTTTTCCACTGAAACGTGTCATTTGTGAGCTGTGGCATAGGCCATATCAGTAGGTAAAATGTGTGTGAGAAGCGGGAAGTGCTGTGAACAATCTCATATTCCGCGTGACGGGGATTTATAGTATTTTTTTTATACATCTTTGGAAAGGGATTTTTAATCCAGCCTCAATTCTAGTGGGAAATTATAATTAAGGTAAGACAAATTGACACAAACTGCTGTGCAAAGAATGGGTTACAAAAATATTCAACTTTGACTTTGAGGATAAGTTGCGCCACGAATTTTTGACCGCACTATAAAATAAAACTCGCTTACTGTGACGTCACAGGTCGGCTTGCAGAAAGTTAGATCATGAACTGGTCCTCTTTCGTGATCAAAATTAATATTTTCTTATAATTTCATTAATGGAGTATCGATTTTGGAACTGATCTTTCACCTCCTTGAGCGTTGCATGTATGTCTGTGTGTTTGTGTGGTGCGTGTGTGTGTATGTGTGTGTGTATGTGTGTGTATGTGTGTGAGAATGCGTGTGTGTGTTTATGTGTGTATGTGTATGTATGTGTGCGTGTATGTGTTTGTGCATGTGTGTGTGTGCGTGTATGTTTATATGTGTATGTATGTTTGTGAGTGTGTGTGTGTGTGCTTGTGTGTGTGTGTGCTTGTGTGTGTGTGATTGTGTTTGTGTGTGTGTGTGTGT